TTTTGAGAGAATCTGCCTTCAAAAAAAGCAAAAAGTGAGCCTGGTGCCGTGACTCACGCCTGTAATCCTCACTACTCAGGAGGCTGAGATCTGAGGATCACGCTGCAAAGTTAGCAAGCCAGCCCGGGCAGGAAAGTCAATGAGACTCTTATCTCTGATAAACTACTAGAAAACCTGAAGTGGCGCTGTGGCTCCAGTGGTAGAGCGCTAGCCTTGAGCTCAAGAGCGCATGGACAACGCCTAGGCCCAGAGTTCAAGCCTCACGACTGGAAAAAATAAAAAAAAATAAAAAGTGCCACAAAAGCAAGGTCCAAGTGAATGTTTATGATTTAAATGGTAAGGTGAAAATTTTAGAAAGTGGCATGGCTGCAGTGGAACTTGAATAACTGCAAGCAAAATGAATTGTCCATTGGGCTGCAATGAATTGTCCATTGGACTGCATAGCACTAAACGGTATGCACACCACAACTTTGCAGACTTCCCTCAACGTTAGTCTTCTTGGGGACACATACTGGCAAATATTAAAGGTCTACTCTGCATGAACTAAACTAGTCTGTTTTCAGTAGAGGAATGGACTTAAGAAAATAATATGCCAATTATTGTTTGCTTACCACAAATCTGTCCTGAACCTCCATTTTCTTCAGGATAACTACCAGACCTTGATTGCTTCACTCTTCTGTGAGTAGCCAAATGTTTGTATGGAAATTGAACACCTTTCTGGTCCTAAGTGATGAACCTTTACTAGGCAAAACTCGTCTTGTCCATGTTGTGTGTTGTCCTGATTTTAGGAATATGTTGGCAGATAATTGCCATTTGCTCATTTTGATAGCATCTTTGAATCATAACCTCTGGAGCAGTTTATAAGATAAAATAAAAGGTTTTTTAAAATACATATATATATATATATATATATATTGTTATATTGTCATCTCAAAATAATCATAGACATGACATAATCATTTTTGGACCATAAAAGAAAACCCAGGAGAATTTTTAAGACTTCAAATTGTGAAAATAATTCCTTTACATTATTAAACAATTGTAACCAATCCGTGTTTCAAATTTTAACATATAATGTAAGTCTTATAGAAAGCCACTTTTATTTGTGTTTGCTATTTTTGCAGCCTGTGTGCATTTTGTGGTAAACAGAAAAATGGCATCACATTTCTCATAAATATTACTAGGAATGGAAATGACTGGGCTCTAAGATTGAGTGGTATATATCTGATTTCATATGTGGACTTGATATAAAAGGCCAGCACAACCAATCAGAGAAGAGGTAGAAGACAAAACATAGAAGAAGAAAATGGCACAAGAGGATTATGAGTTTTCAGTCATTGGCATTTGTTAGGGTTTTTTTTTTCTTTTTTGATGTTTTGTCATGGTGGACATCATAACTGTTACATTGTATTTATAAAGCATCGCACTAACTAAAGTTTCGTGTATAGAAACATAATGAGCTTTTTCAATAATGCACATTTTAGGTACAGATTTTAACTCTACAGGATTTGATAACTACACTTATTTTTTCCTCTACATTCTATTCATAGTTTGGAAATCTTTTATTTTTAATAAAGCCCAAGTTGCACGCACACATGTACACAGTTACTCATGTGTTTTTTTTATTAATTTTTAGAACTTTATTAAAAGCAAATGTAAGGAATCCAAGGGCTTTTCCCCCTAGCTCATCTTATAGTTTTTCTTTCACAGGTTTTAATGTTAACTAACTTAAATATATATTATTAGTGAGATTCATTTTTCAATTTGCTTTCTCAAGATTTATTCATTTCTCCTTGTTTTCATATATAAATAGTTTCATTTGGAAATACCACATATTTACCAGAAAAAAAATGTTTTAACTAAATAATTCAGTATGATACCCTTCATCTTCTCTTAGGAATGCAAATATCACATTCTTTACCTTAGAATAAAAGAATCCCTTCTAGCATTCTCATGACATATAATGAATTAAGTCTGTTTTTGACTTCCAAAAAAGAAAAAAATGTAAACTAGCATAAATATGTCTGCAAAATAAATTCAGATATGAATATTTTACTTAACTCTAGAGAAGTTGACATTGTCTTCACTTCAGGAAAGTCTGTACATATAAAGTGCATAAGAATAAAGATCATTTAAAATGTTATTCCTTATTTGGATGAAAATGAGTAGTATCTCAATTTGCTACACTTTTCAGATAATGAGTTGAAGTCCAGGCTTCAATTTATTTGGTTAAGCATACCTGCCAATAAAGGGATTTTCAGCTCTCAGACCTTTCCACAAGTAGATGGTAATGAAGTAAAATGTATGTACTTCCATTTATTTCGAAATGAAAACTTTCATTATTCCATCTAGCCATTGTCAGAGCATTCAAGGACAGGAAGATTAGGGCTTAGAAATCACAATTATAGAACCAGGACTGAAATGCTTTTCCAAGCAATGTGTGTGTGGATGTGTTCATTTGAAAGCACACTTCTATTCTTTGAATGCTTATTTCTATGAATTCTACTAAGATATCTGAAATAACTAATCATTTTATTTCTGGAATGGGCTTGATGAATATATTATATAGATGCTGATGCATGTTTATAATAATTTATCAAATCTTGCCAAAGATATGTAGAATACTTGTAAATTGGACTTCTTTGAAGATCAATCCACCTTCAAATATGTTTCTGTAGTTGCATAATATTACTTAGTCAAGTTTAGGAATTCCAGGAATACAACTTTAAGATTCAAAATTTATGGACATATTATGGGAATTAAACCTGAACATATTTGATGTTTTTAAATGTATGTCTGAAAATCAGTTAGAGGTCAGGGAAATACCATTGTATTGCACAAACTTGAAGAATGAACTGCTCATAGATTTATAAAAGTGCTTTTGACTTTCACCGTTCTTGATCAGCTAAATATTGGCTGTTTCCTGCATACTGAAGTTTTGTGTACTGACAATCCCTCTGTGGTTGAAGTTAGAATGTACAAACTTATGGAACTTCCAGTAAAATTGACCTTTCAGTTTATACTGGGCAATTTTGTATATGATATATAGAACAAATCCAGAAAAGTCCTTTATTTTATGTTTTCTTCCAGTAGCTTTACGGTTTTATGTCTTCTGTTTAACTCTTCAATACACAGATTTTTAATGACTTTTAAGCCTTTGCTAATATTTAGTAATATTACTTTTCTTTGGAGGAATTTAAGAGAATTAAGAGGAGTTATTGTAATCATTTTTCAACTCTTCATTGAAACTGTTTTGAATGTGCTTCATTGAAACTGTGGTTATTTTTTCTACATATATTTCATGGAATGGGAGTGGGTTTTGCCTAGCAAATATTTCTTATCTTAGCAATATTTCTGGGCCAGTTTTTGTTCCATCGGCCATACTTAACTCCAGTTAGATTGATTTTTATATCTACTTTTCAAAATTAAAAAAAATTACTATACGCACTAAATTAATGAGTTTAAAACCTTTGGTTTCGCTAAACATCATCTTATCTGGTCATATGTACATAGCTTTTGAATTTTTCTACTTGTCCCAGATATCTACTAGTTATTGCAAATAAGGGAAACCATAGGACCTTTGTTTCTTTGGGCCTGGCTTACTTCACTTAATATATTTTTTTCCAAGTCTTTCCATTTCCTAACAAATGGGGCAATGTCATTCTTTCTGATGGAGGCATAAAATTTCATTATATATATATCACATTTTCTTGATCCATTCATCTATTGAGGTTCATCTACTGGTTCCATATCTTAGCTATGGTAAATAATGCTGCAATAAACATAGTTGTGCTGGTTGCTTTAGTATGGTTTTGTTTGTGATCATTCAGGAAATTGCCCAAAAGTGGGATTGTGGGTCATAGGGGAGCTCTATGTGGAGTCTCCATACTAATTTCCAAATTGGTTGAACAAGTTTACATTCCCGCCAACAATACAGTAGGATTCCCTTCTGTCCACATCCCCTCCAGCATCTGTTGTTATTAGAGTTCTTGATTATAGCCATTCTAACTGGGGTGAGGTGGAATCTCAATGTTGTTTTGATTTGCATTTCTTTTATGAATAGAGAGGTTGAGCATTTCTTCATGTGTTTATTGGTCATTCTTATTTCCTCTTCAGAGAAGTTTCTCTTTAAGTCTTTAGCCCACTTATTTATTGAGCAGTTGTTTCTTTGAGGATTTGTTGTTGGGGATTTAATTTTTTTGAGTTCCAAGTATATTTTAGATATGAGACCCTTATCCATTTTATGGCTATTGAAGATCTCCCAATCCATGGGCTTTCTATTGGTCTCGTTATCTATGTCCTTTGCCATGAAGAAGCTCTGCAGCTTCATGCAATCCCATTTGTCCAACATTTCTTTAATTTTTTGTGTTTCTGGGTCTCTATTGAGAAAATTTAGGGACACAAGTTGGTTTTTCTTTCTTGCTATTTTCCTAATGTATTTATAATGTACCATTTGATTTTTTTTGTTGTTTTTTTTGTATGCTCCTTCCCCACAGTATAACCTCTGTTTTCACTGTATTTGATGTTGCGCCCAGCATCTTGTATATACACTTCTCCAATTTGGGGAAGGGAAGGGGAAAAACAAAGTGCTTAAATAGGGATACAGGTTGACCCATTGTAGAATTAGATGTACCAGACACTATTTTGAAAAACAAACTTTACAGTTTAGGCAGGAAGGAGGGGAGGTCAGAAGGAGGGGAGTGTAGTTGTGGAGGGGGGAAGGGAAGGGATGGTAGGGGGAAAACAAAGGAGGAGTTAATGCATGATAGGAAATGTTACTCATTACCTTGCTCATACAACTGTAACCCCTCTGTACAGTTTTTTTGCAATAAAAAACTTATTAAAAAAAAACCTTTGGTTAAACAAAACCGTATTTAAAATCTGTGTAATTTACAACCAAAATAAGGTTAGTGTAGATGTTAATAATGACTTACCATCAGTTTTATTATGATTTAACTTGGCATAAACTTATTCTCAACTTTTCTTTCTCTTGGTTTCAGATGCAATAACAGAACCCAGTGTGCCGTGGTGGCAGGCCCTGATGTTTTCCCAGACCCTTGCCCAGGAACTTATAAGTACCTTGAAGTGCAATACGAATGCGTCCCTTACAGTATGTACACTCCTCTACTTTTTGCCATTAAGAGGAAAGGTATATAACAAAGCTATTCATGCACTGAGTAAATATATTCTGTGAATACATATAATAACAAAACAATGAAAAGACAGAGATGGATTTTATTTTGGAAAACTTTGATGATTCTTACCTCCTTCCTCACTGTTGGAAGAATTACATGTTGCCTATAGGTCCTGATAGCATTTAAGTTTTCTGGGATAATTTTATACAACAGTATGTAATTTCACACCATTCATTTAAGAATATAGATGTTTTGAAAAAAGGCTGAGGAGATAGTAGGACAGTTTTGCATAGATAGTGAAAATAAATAATCTGTTAACAAACAGAAATTGACACATTGTAAAGTATATCTAAGTTTCTTGTGCTCTTTACCTTTTGAGAATCAGAAATATGTTCATCCGGAGGAAACAGATTGGTAAGAAAACACAAAGATTACATGAGCTAAATAAATCTTTAGAGTATATTTTTAAAGCTGTAGATATTTGCCTTTGCAACTTTTGTATCAGATATGGTACAGGTATATTTAGCACAAGCATAATGAAGAATCAAACAACTTACTATGGAACATTTTCTGACTTTTCTACCTAAAGAAAGGCTCATCATCTGAAAAAAGACTTGTGAATTATCATGGGATTTCTTAGTGTAAAATCACTCAGGAAATCCTGTAGACTTACATTAGATGTGCAGCTCATTATCTCAGAGATAAAAAACACCTGGGATCATAAACAAATCCCAGGTTCCAACTTCCTTTGATGTTTCAGAAGGAACAGAGTATCTTGGGATCAGCAGGTCTACTGTACCACAGACTATTCTGAATCTTCCCTCAGTTAAGCATATATTAAGAGGCAGCACATTACTCACAGCTGAAGTGTGCATACTTCAAAAAAATAGTAATTCAGACAAAAAGAAATGAGTTGATTTCACAGTAAGGAAAGACATTTATATTAAGAAATCAAGAGGAAATATTGTTTGCCTTAAAGTATGATTAATTAGTAAAAGTTTATCTAGTGACATTTCACATGCTGATGCTTGTTATGAAAATGCATACATTTGTAGGGTTTTCTTGTTTTTAAATCTCCATTAATTTTTTTATTACATTGTTTTCTTTACAGGCCCATCTCAATTATATCTACAGAGAGCAGAGATATTGCTATCTGTTCTATACAAAATATAAAGATCTTAATGACAATTTATCATTCACTAGTATTATGTCAAAAAAATGAAAGGCATAGGCCATGTTGAAATGAGATAATTCTATTTGATTTGCATAACAATATCTTGGTGAAATATATTGTACCCTGTTCAAGAATGACATCTTATAACAGTATAATAGGATGTACTGCACTTGTAAAGACACTTTTAGAAACTTTACAGTCGTATTTTCATTCTCATATTTTGAAACATGATAGTAGAAGTAAAATGGCAAGTTACAGATTTTACCATAATTTTTGAGCACTAAAATATTTCACAGCTTTCTCTTCAATTTCCTGTATTTCATCAGAGTTTCTTTGAAGATCACTACTCCAAAATCTTCTGCAAAATTCATTCTAAAATATCATCAGCTTAATTTACTACCTCTTACACTTTTCCATTAAAAATATCGTTTTACCACAGGCTTCACTTCTCATAAAATTTCAGAGAGAGCAAGTGGATTTCTTACAATCTTCTATTTGTAGGTTTCTCATAACCCTGAAACCTTACTGATAACCTTAGAAATATCTTTCTTATTGTATTAAAATATTCAATTTGATTGTTTCACTAAATAAGAATTATAAACTCAGTTGTACTCACTACTACTCTATACATGACCTTCATTAACATATGGCATGCTAATATTTATTTATATTTTCTTAATATATTTCAGTTAAAACTGTAAAGCAAAATTTTGCCTAGAAATTTAACATATTTTAAAAGAAAATAATGCTACAAAAAAGTAAAAGCCAAACCAAAAAAAAATCCTACTATGACTCACTGGAAATATGGATTGGTTTAGTAGAAAGACAATGAATTATTAGGTAGTATGAGGGTAGAATATAGTCTAATTTCTTAGCAGAAAACCTGAATTCTTCAGCCAAACTTAACTATTAAAGCTTTCTAGGTCTCACCCTGTATACTTTCTCTGGTATAGTTATAAACCTGATTTGGATCAACGTTAGCTAATTTTCCTTTTCTAAATATAAAATGCATGAGTTTTCCAATATTGAAAATCCTTATGCCTGTAATCCTAGCTATTCAGGAGTCAAAAATGAGGATTCTGGTTCAAAGCCAGCCATGACAGGCCAGTTCATGAGACTCTCATCTCCAAGTAACCACTAAAGTGGGGGAAAAGGCAGAAGTGGAGCTGTGGGTCAATTGTAAGAGCACTAGATTTGAGTCAAAAAGCTCAGAGACGGCACCCAGGTCCTGAGAAAAGGATTCACTCACCTGCTTCAAATCCCTATCATTTTTTTTGAAATTACATGCCATTTGCTGCTTGATGCATGTATTGAAGTAAAATGTGATTGGTAGTATATCTATATGCTCCATGAAGAATATAAGTTAGGTAGAGATAGCAGAACAGGGTTGTCCTCTGTGTATAATTCCTGCTCTTAAAGTACTTTGTTTCTCATCATAGATTCAGTTTTCTGCTTCATATTCTCATGAGTTGCTTCCATCTTTTTCTTCAGCATATAATATGGTCCAATCAGTTGTTCAATATATTGTTCAATCCTTTATAATTGTCATCACTACGTCAACACCACGTTGTGAAAGTATGTGCCTCAAAGACTAAGATCTTTTTCCTTGGTCCCTTAGCTACATTTATTATTATTTATTTATTCATTCATTTATTTATGGCAATACTGATGTTTGAACTCAGGGCTTCTCTCTTACGAGGCAGACACTCTAGCACTTCAGTTATATGCTATTATGATCTTTTTGCTTCATTTATCTTTTCAGGCATAACCTTGTGTCTTTGGCTAAGCTGGCCTCAGCCTTTAACCCTCCCTATATGTTGCATCTGAGATCACACTGCATACCACCACACCTGGGCTTGTTGATTAAAGAGGCCATCTTATTAATTTGCCTGAGCTAGCCTTGAATCACAGTCCTTCCACATAGCTGGGATTAATGACCATTAGCCACCATACCCAGCTTCAGTTATTTTTGATGAAGTTTATGCTCCTTTTCTTAGAGCTGCTGAATCCATGTAAACTTTTGTTTTTCCAGACACTTCATAAAGTTTTAGAGCCTAACATTGTCTGTGTCATACAACATACTACATAACTTAGAATGAGTATCTTAGCTACGTAGTAAGTTAATATGCTCTTTTCATTATCCATGTTAGATAAAATCCTGTACTCAATCATAAACTTCATGGTTCTTGATAATGTATGTTGACAACCTACATTGCATTAGAATAAGGCATACTTCAGATTTGAGATTTAACATTTATTTTGGTGGGAAAAATATGTAAACAAAAAATTATTGATCAGATAAATAATAAGGAATTGCATTAGAGATAATACACAGAAAAATTCAACAAAGGTTGTTGCCTTCCATAAGAGAAGTAAAATTTCCAAGGAAAGTTTGAAAGTAGTGGGAATTGCCCTATTGCCCTTCCCCTTCCCCCCTCCCCCTCTCCACCCTACCCCCCACGGCCTCAATTCCTTGCACATGCTACTACTGAAAAATATACTTCTAGCCTAAAGTATAACAATTTTGCACAGGATTTTAGGCATCATTAAATAGATACTTAACTGAATGACAACTTGAGAAATAACTTACCTTGACAATAGCAAATGATACAACTTTCTAGGCAAGGAAATATTTTATAGAAAAAGAAAATAAGAAAAGTTAGATTGTAAATGATTTAGTAAAACTGTCTTCTTTGTACTGTCTTATATTCTTTTTACTTTTCTTTTTCAGAATCAGTAAAGCTATATTTAACCTCTTCTAAGTTTTCTTTCTCTTATCTATATTTTCTTGTCTGTGTTCATAGATACCGTGTTTCTAATGAAATTTGGGACAAGGGAATCAATACATCTCTCCGTTCCTGTCACATCTTAGTTCCATTGTGGCGTTTATAGACTCTGGGTTCTCTTTTGAGGTTTGATTTTCCTCCTTGGTGAATATTTTCTTCCCAGGAGATGACCCAAATATTCGAAAGGTTAAACCTTGCCATTTACCAACACCACATCTTTGTTCTTCTGCCTTTTCCCCCCATCCCAGCCCTTCTGACCTTATTTGAGATCAAAATTGTAGTGTCTACAAGTAGAGCCACCTTCCTTCAGCCAGGTTGCAGGGATTTGTGTTAGGCAGAAAACAATGGAACAACTACCCACCTACTTAGAGTATTTTGAGCAAAGAATCTTTGCTTTGTATCCTGCTGACAAATGGTGTTTCTTCCAAGGCATACAATTTCACGCACATTACACTCCAAAAGTGTCTGTCTTTCCTCACAATCTCTCTTTCTCTTCCCATTCTTTGTCTCTTCTTTTCAGAAATGCAAAGCACATATTACTTACCAGTCTTCTTTCATGGCAGATTTTCTTAAGGAATTGAGGGTAGAAGTACAAAATTGGAGAGATCCTAAAAATGTGTGTTCGATTAAATGAATCTTATAGCACTTAAGACTTTCTCACTATTCACATTTGTCCACTTAATAGTGCTAATACTGATCATTTTATGAAAATACAGGAAAATTAATATTTACAAATGATTACACACTTTTTAAGTTTCTTTTCTGCTTCATAATAATAAAATCCATTATTCTTTCAGCTATTAAAACCAGGTCTTTAAACATTTAATTACATATAAATATATATATATATATATATATATATATATATATTTCCCTTTTTTTGCTAGTAATCCTCAAACCTATGTAGAAATATTTTTAGTTTGAAGACATTACAGGAACCCGGTGGCTGTAATCTTTGATACTCTGGAGACTGAGATCTGAGGATCATGGTTTGAAACCAGCCAGGGCAGAAAAG